GCTTATGTACGTGTGGGACTAAGATTGTGACAATATATATATATATATATGTATTTATATATACAAATATGTATATGAATGTATGTATATATGTCTGTCTGTATATATCTATATGTATATATATATATATATATATGCATTTATATATACAAATATGTATATGAATGTATGTATGTATGTTTGTCTATATGTATATGAATGTATGTATGTATGTTTGTCTATATGTATATAAAATTGTATGTACAAATGTATTTGTATATATATATATATATGTGTGTGTGTGTGTAAAGTATGTATGCTAGTGCATCTGTGTATATGTGTGTGATTGTGATTGTATAAATGTATACGTGTAATTATATATTCAAAAATATACATGTATGTCTGAAGGTATATATATATATATGGAAATATATATATGTGTGTGTGTGTCTATATATCTATGTACATGTATTTATGTATCTATGAATATATATATGTATCTAGATATCTATGTATGTATATACGTATATATATATATATATATATGCGTATGTACGTGTGAGATTGAGATTGTGTCAATTTAGATATGTATATTTATTCAAATATATATTTGTATTTATGCAAGTATATATATATATATATATACATCTATACATGTATGTATATACATCTGTATCTGTGTAACTGTGCGTGTATTTATTTGTATGTCCATCAATTTTATATATGTATATATATATATATATATATATATGCGTATGTACGTGTGAGATTGAGATTGTGTTAATTTATATATGTATCAATAAAAACAAATATGTATTCGTATGTATGTATATATGTATCTATTTACATTTATATATATATGTTTTTGAATATATTTGTGTATGTATTTATATATATATGTGTGTGTGTATGTATATATATATATATATATATGCAAGTAAGTATGCATGTGTGTATCGGTGTATATGTGTGTGATTGTGAATGTATAAATGTATATGTGTATTTATATATTCAAATATATACAGGTATGAATGTATATATATGTATATATATATACATATACATATGTATATATATACATATATATATATATGAGTGTTTGTGTGTGTGTATATGTATATAGATATATATATATAAATGTTTGTGTGTGTGTATGTATGTATGTATATAGATATCTATATAAATGTGTGCGTGTGTGTACACGTTTATTTATTTATATGAATATGTTAATGTATGTATAAATAGATATTTATGTATATATATATATATGTATATGTATATGTAGAAATAGATATTTATATATACATGTGTGTTTTTGTGTGTGTGGATTTATGTTTTATGTATGTCTATGTATATATATATAAATATATATATAGTATACTTATACATATACATAGTATACTTATACATATACATAGATATAGACATATAGATACAGATACATGCCATACAAACATATATATATATATATATATATCCATACATATATGTATATATGTATAGATATATATATATCAATTTATATATATTTATATATTGATACATAAACATTTGTGTGTGTATCTTTGTGTATGTATTTGTATATTTATATGTCTGTAATTATGAATATGTATTTTAAATAGATCTATATTCAATATATGTGTGTCTGTGTACGTGTCTATGTATGTATGTGTATTTACACGTATACGTGCATATTGATATATATTGATATGTATATATATATGTGTGTGTCTGTGTAATTATATGTATTTATGTATATATATATTTCTATATGTATACATATATGAATATGTGTATATATATACATATATATGTATTTGTAAATATATAAATATAAAGATATATACACATATTTCTATATATATACATATTTATATATATATATATGATCAATACACGTGTGCACGTTCAAGTGTTTATATATATATCTATGTATCTATGTATCTATTTTTTTTGAATATTTGTATATGCTGCTATTTTTGGTTATGTATATATACCTAATTGGTGTACGGATGTATATATAGATATATATGTTTAGACATGTATATCTTTATTATATATATAAATATATACATATCCATATATATATGGACAGAAATCCACTGTCATGTATACACCTTATGAACACTAAGATTCATTCTCATTACAGATGGTAGTTACCTCTATCACAGAAATATACCATTCTTCTGTATATAGTTACAGAAGCATTTGTAGTTAATGTAAGTGAAGTTTTACTTGGAAAAGACGCGAGTTTGTGCGTTCTCGTATAATAGAAAATTAAATGCGCACAGAGGTATGTAGTACACTGTTGTATATTTTGTTCAACCTGTATCATGTTTAGATGTACAAATGCAAATCTGCTCGTATCTATTGGTATTATTTTATACACATACTTTTCTTGGTTTTCTTGTCCTGTGCCTCCTCTGTTTAGAAGACCGATTCGAGTCGATACATTCTATGTAGACTAACCCATACACGGACTGGATATATCAAAACACTGTGTAAATATAATGTAGAAATAGTAGATAATCTGTCTTCAATCGATTCAAGGTATGCTGAAGGGTTCGTCCAACTGTGTCTGCGATATAAAGCATATTATTGACCTAAAAATGTCGTCACCATAGTGGAATGTCGTCTATGTCCTGGAACCATTATTCTTGTACCGTAGCAGCTTTTTCTTTTTGCGTTTGTGTAGCGTCTTTGGAAAATGATTTGTTTGCATCTTTGCGAAATTTGGTGGCAGGTGGAGGTTGTCTTCATTTAGCTGCTTTGGCCATTACCTTCGATTTAAAACTCTATTGCGCATTGTATTTTCGTTTCGTGACACGATGTCTGATCTGTCCATATTGTATTTACTCACGTTCACACTCAACTGCAAAATGCACATATCGTGTTTGTATGTAAAGGCAGATGTTGTCCGAAACCTGTATCGAGGACGTCTTTAAAGCTTTTTTTTTTCAAACCGATTTGTTTTACAAAGTTGTTAGTATGCTAGTGAAAGTTCGCAAATGCTTGTTTGCACATAGGAGTTATACTGTATTTTTGAATCGTGACAATTCGCATTAGTTTATTGTAGCTGATTAAAATCTGGTAGACATGACCTGTATACATAGATTCGTATCTTCGAGACAGATTCCGATACATGTCACTCAATATTAAGTAAACAAAGCTTTTCATATCTTGCCTACTCTATATATGCGACGAATATTGAGTCTGGGTAGTGGTGTCAGATGTATCGGGCCTCTGATTGTACTATAAAGCCGTACATGAAGTAACTCATTTGTTCACCTATCTGTCGGTAGATGAAGAGGTGGTCGGAATCTTGCTGTTAAACCTCACCTCGAGTGAGCTGAAGCTTTTGGATCAGTTCGAGGATCCAGGATATGACAGGCGTGTAGTAGATGTACGTACGACTGATGGAAAGTCGGTTCCAGCGCGCATCTGGGCCACTCCCAATAGTATGGCGGATAACCTCGATTTAGAGACCGATTGGCATTTCCGGCACTTTCTTGTTGAGGATGAAGACTGGTATGTCGAGATGTGTGAGGAGTGGGTAGTTGACGCTGCTGCTGCAGAGCCTTGATGTTTTTGGGTTATGTACCCTTGTGATGGACGAACATATATAATTACCAAGGGACTAAACCTCAGTTTGAATAGGATAGGTTGTGGTATGTCTGGGTGCGACCAAATTTCACAATGCAATAAAGCCATAACTTGCAATTGAACCTCTTTCAGATATGTTTTTTTTTCTCACTAATTTTAAAACGCTTCTTGGCTAAATTTTTCGTACTATTTTAGTTTTGTTCATTTGTCGAACACTTAGATGATTCAAGATTGTACGGTGGCGACGTAGTCAGGAATGGGCAAACACATGGTGCAAAACATTACGAAGCAGTTTTGATGTTGCTGCATGGAAGCGTGACAAAGAATTTCCTGAGAACTATTACAAACCGGCTGAGTTCAATGATTTTGACAGGGACTTGCCACGCAAGTTCAAGTTGAATTTTGTGAACAAAGATTCGTGTTTTGCCCTTTTACGACAATTCGCTGTAGTATATGGTCTATATATGACCCCTGAAAAAATCATTTGTGATTGTTGCCGTTCCGACCTAAGAACCAGGAAGTACTTTCACACAAAAGTACCTTCTTCACTTCCGCCAGGAATATCGTGCGAAGATTTACATTTGCAGAATCGATTTCCAGACGCAACCACACTAACACAAAATGTGATTGCGTGATTTGATTTTGCCCAACAGCGTGAAAAAAGGTCGTTTGGTAATAAGTTGATCTACAGGCTTAACACAATGCTCCGGAAAGTTGGAATCGATTAAATATGTATTTCGCAAGCCAATTGCTTAATAAACCAGCCTGGAGGAATTCCTGTGCTAAACTCAGTATACTTTTCAATCATATCTCTACTGCAATAGCTTGACACTTACAATATTAGCTCTCTATAGATACTCAGACCTTCTATGCCTGTATAGTATGGTTTCCAATCGCGCACAGCTTGAAATGTGTCGCCTGAGATTCACAAGACTAGCACTCAGAGCTGACTTAGGCTTATTCAATTTGGCTTGGTTGAAGTACTTCACAAAAAAAACGTGAGGATCTTGTACCAATGGGGTGAGGTTTTTCGCCATGTCGTTGCCCGTTAGCTGAGAAAGTGGAGCGCGAAATTCCTTCGGATTTTCAACTGTTGTGCCGGTTGGCGCAATATTGGTTTACAAAAGCTACTATGTAAGGAAAACTCAGTATTTGCTTGCTGGCTCTTAGCTTGGTGGATTTTAGTGTAGCAATCGGCTACATTGCGGTTGTGAAGTCTCGTCAGTTTTCCCGACGTTTGCACTGCTATCATCCTATAAAAAGAAATAGAGGGTTACAAGAGCATAAGATAGGGACTGAGATTATATTTTGGTTCTATTATGATGGGCGGCATATGGATCAGGTATAATTTCAGTACAAGTCATGACTAGATACTTTGAATTATGTGAATAGTCTTCAATATCATTTTGGTTGATGTAATGCGACAAGGGAAGCGCAGAATCCATCTGATACAAATCGGCCGCTTTATTTTTCGTGCATGTGTGGTGCCTCATACGTCCAACTACTACAATATATGAACAGCCAAAATCTTCACTGGCAAGTTTTTACTAGAGCCCGTATGAGTAGTAAGGGATTTCGGGAACAGTGTTCGAACACAGAATATTTGGGAATTGGACATCCTGATGGTGACCATGAAAGGTGTAGAGTGTAGAGAGTATCTGGAAAGGTACGTCCAAAGAAAACAATAGACCTCTTCTAAAATACGCTTATCTCAGCTAGAAAAGGTCCTTCGTCTGTGAGAACCGAACTGAGTCTTCATTTGTGTTTTCTAATTCACTAGACTCGGGCATCTACGTGAGTGTTTCTCTCACACGCTGGGTTCCGGTTTAGCTTACCGGATCTGCCTGTAATATTTCTGATGACTAATATCAAGAATATTTGGATCCGGACTCAAAACTCAGTATTTTGATTCGGTGGTTGTGGGTTTTGGAATTGATTTTTTTGTTTAACTGGTCTTTAGATGCGCTACAGCCTCCCAAATATGTGCTTCTGAGCTTGCGTATGAGTGGAAAGTGACATCTTACAGTACAAGATTTATCTTGACTTGGCTTAGTAAAACGCATCTCAACGAAGGCTCTACCCCGAGTCTTTGGTCCATATCCCTCTGGCGTGTGGGCGGAGCATGCATCTAGGTGGAAAAAGTGGGAGTGTCCCTCGGTATCAGTGAAACTTGGCCAATTTGTCCGCCTGGTGCGCTTCCTGTTGCTCGCTGATCGTTCATCATTATCGTTACTGTTGACTTCGTCGGCCTTGATTGTCTTCCCTTGCGTCGAGTGCGCTCAAAATTTGACTGAATATGGTAAATTTGGAGACGGATCTATGTCTCCTCATAACTGGACATATACCTCCATCTCGCACATTTTACAACCCTAAACCCCCCCAACCATATAATTTATCCAAAACAGCTATCTATCAGACTTTCTTAGATGTTGTATCAGATGGCGTGGCGTAAACTGAGGGTAACAATTGTAAAATTATGTTCAAATTTAAGCGCCGTATACAACATTTTTCATTTTCTGTTGAATCTGTGGAACGGCACCAACGAGTGAAACTGGAGAGAATTTGAAATTTAATATATTCAAAAGAGTGCTGCACTTGTACATGTGCTATATACTCTCAGAAATTTCTTGAGTCTTCGTTGCAGTATGCGCAAGTTGTCCAGTTGTATTGATTCTGCGCCTTCGATATTCAATCGACTATTATTCAGGACACTATACAATTCAAAATTAATCGTCAAGCAACAAAATGGATAAAACCATAGATTATAATTCATTTATCGATTAACACCACGAATTAAAACCCTACAGCCGAAAAAAAAATCGGAAGAACACCGAGCTAACAAACACCCTCTTCACGCTATATCTAATATTTAGATCAAAAAGGCTCAGGCGGTTTAAAGAGTTGTATTTACAGATTGTACCGGACTAGTGGGCCTCTCAGAAATAGACAACTGATATAAAACGGTGAGGTTCAAAGAGTTGCATTTAAAGATTGTACCGGACTAGTGGGTCTCTCAGAAATTGACAACTGATATAAGACGGTGACCGGGCGGTTGAGTAAAAATAAATGAGTATCAGGATGGGGGACGATCAACGCGCTACTCCTTACATATTGTCTCCAATCGTTGCTTTCTAATTTGCGTTAGCGCGGTTCGTAGTCGTTTGTAAAGGTAGACACAAAGGACTTCGGAACTATACGATTCGATAGCCGAATTCGATATTGCGTATAAATATAACGATTGTATGGACTATCATCGATAGTATGTACAAACTGGGCGACCAAACTGGCGGAGGCGTCGCGATGACCCTAGTGCAATTGACGAGTGTCGACTGAATAAATATTATTTATGGTTGGAAAGAAGTTAACATTCCACCTTTAATTTTCATGTACAAGTTTATGGGCTGACTAAAAAATAACTATGAAATAGGTTTTTAGAGAATAAATTGAAAACGACATCGATGTGACAATGAGCCTATCCTGGCACTTTTGGTGTTATCTCCATACAATTGGCAACGTTCACAAATAAGCCACATGAAAACTATGCATTGGTAGGATCAGCTGCTGAGGTTAGATTGTAATAGAATAGCTACCGATTTCCTCATGACGAATTTTATATGAACTAGCACGTATAGATGATGATTGTGACATAGTGAAACAAGGCAGAATATGTATGTATGTATGATATACATACATATTCTGATACATACATACATCTTGATACATACCGAATACAGCTTGGTTATGTTACGCTGCGAGGAGAGCGTACTACCGTGATACTCTTCGTATGCATCATCACTGGCGATAATACTCAGTTGAACAAATGCATGATGTATCACGGGCTGTAAGATTCGGTCTAATCAAGGCGATACTAATGCCTTAGAATAAACAAACGCGTAGGTAAATTCTATATATCGTGTAAATATCGATATTTAGTGTTTCGTTGTCGCTCTTTTCTGGGGCGAATCCGATAGACTCATAAAATCCTATCTTTAGAATAAATAAATAAAAAAGAAAAATACTCTTGACGTTCTTAGTTATTGTCTTAACCAATAACTTGCCACTATCAAGAATTACCGACTTAGCCTTCATCAGACTGGTACATCTGGTTGGCTTATCGGAGGATCAACTAGGTAACGTTAATAGTCCCTAGAAACCTATATTCAGTTGAGCCATCTCGCTACCGAAGTATTCAGATATAAATAAAATTGGAAAGTAAATATAGCTCTATTAATAGAACTAGACCAACTTTTTATGTTTGGTATTTTACTGAGGCGTACGGAGTAAAGATCCATGGCTCAATAAATTGATCAGCATGATTCAATACGAGCCAATATATTTAGATAGGAAAGTAGATACTTTCCTATATCAAGGTACCCGAGCTGTCCAGAAGACGCCCTGGAGACATACTATTATATGTCGTATAGGTCCCATTGGAACAACCAAATGGTCCCCTATTGAGACCTTCCTTAACAAAGTCAAAGAATCAGAGATTCCACTCTCTACCCAATTGAACGTTAAGCAGTTCAAAGGCAACACAGTATTTAAAGTCTGTGCACAAGAAATACAATCTACTAATGACACTGTTAAGAAGCGTCAGTCTCTAGCTAAAGCTCGAGGTCTTTCATACATTATTTTCAAAGGGATTAATGAAAGACAATCCTGAAGCGTATACACATATAATGCGACTATTTAATACGTAAGGTGTATCTAACGCGCATGAGCGCACTTATGACACTCATGCAAAAGCAGGACAGGAGTCTGGAAACACTACAGACTTAGAGACCACGCAAGTGGATTCTCAACACCCTACCTTTATTCTGGAGGAGCAGAATGATGAAAACATTCTTACTTGGTTGACGCAAACCCATAAGCTGAAGCACCAGATGCTAAGCAAAATGGGATCGCGCACCCTAAGCTGGCAACTTTAATTGACAGAGTATATCAGTCATGTACAGACTGTGATCTCAATCAAATCAGCTTTGGGTTCGCACAGCTTAAAAGTGTGACTGAAGATGTTCCATGGCGCAGGGTCATCATTGATCTGGTTGACCTACCCCACGTCCGAGCACACAGGCGACAGTTACGTATGCCACTTCTTTGATGTGGCGTCACGGTTTAACTTACTCTATCCATTAAAGGATAAGAATACGCAGACCGTGGTGTAAACTTCGATGGAAATTACTAGGTTTCAAACTATATTAAACTAAAATACAATTTAGTCAGTTAGGATTTAGCAGTGGTAGCTTGTGTAAGAATGATT